GCGAGGGGGTGTGGGAGAGAAGACCGAGGGAATCCTACCCTCGGTAGAGTAACCAGGCCTCCATCTATTCTGTTTGCGTTGGGGCATTAGGTTTTATGCAGGAGAAAGTTTTATAGGCCTCAGCCCTTGCGCAGATATAACCTAGTGTCCTCTAGGCCACGATCGGCAGGGAAAACGTCTTTTTTCTTTTTTGCTCTTTTTCTGTGTTAACGGCTGCATTTCTTTCATTTTCTACGACCATGAGGACTCCGAGAGAGAGATGAAAGGGAAGATCGAGATGCTCATTAATACAGTTGAAGTTCACGTAATGCTGATGCTTCCTGTTAAATTTAAAAATTGGGCGGGGGATGGGTAAGGGTTACCAAGTAGATATTGTACCGCGAGCCTCTAAATTCTGGAGCGTACCGCAGGGCGTAAGAGTAGTAAATATTAATAACAATAGATTTAATGTTTTACTGATCATTGTTTATTTTACACCTCTCTGAGCAACGGCGGACCTCGAAGTAGTTATTTTCAATTCTATTTTTTAAAAATATTGTAATCTCATTTACATATTAACAGTAATAATTAAAGCTGGCTTACTTTTTGTCTGCAGGTTACAAATCACTTGAAATATATAAGTTAGTGGAACTTTGCTTGAGGTAGGTACTATCATATTTCTCAGACAGAAAACAGGCACAAGAGTGTTGGTTGCCAGGGTCATAATAAATCAGTAGCGGAACTACTAAGGAATTTGACTCTATACTAGGTTAGTCAAGTGGTTTTTACCTAGCTATTGGAACAGTAGGTATTGATAGTACTGTATTTGAATTTTTTACGAGAACCTAATTACAGCAGTCACTAGGGGTAACTGGAATTCCCAAACTGCACTTGGGAAAAATATTTAATTACGAGAATTGGCAGTTATTATTAATTTAACATCCTAATATAAACTTAAAATTTGACTTTCAGGGTATTATGGCATTGATTTTCCAAAATATCTATCTGAAAAGTATGTAGTTAACCATACTTTTTATTAAGAAAGTAGAATTGTGCCCACTATTTGCTAAGTCCTGAAACATACGAAAAATGTTCGCTAGGTTTATGAAAATTACATAGGTGTTTCTAAGTAGTATCATATTCACTTATCCAAGAGATCGCTTTTTTTTTTTTTTTTTTGGATACTTGGGGAAGGGGAAGATTTCATTTTCATAGTGTGTTCTCTCACAGAAACTGTTACGCAAAGTTTAAACCAATACTGAAGGATAAAATCATCCCTTAGGAAATCGATAGAAGGTAAAAGTACTTTATCCGGAATGGTGAATGCATTTGTCAACTCCCTTACCGTGTAGATGATGTAATAGGGATTAAAAGCATTGCTCTTCAGGAAAAACATAAACATGTATATTATTACATGTGCTTAAAACTAAAGTTTATTCACTGCAGAACTGTTGGAAATGAGATAAGGGCAGTGATTAGTTGATTTAACTCATAAACGTAATAAAAATATTGTTGGCAAATAGAAATGTAAGGAATTAATATTTAGTAACAGTTGATAAAAATTGAAAACTGAAGGGCACTTTTCTTGCCTTGACCTGTTAGAAATACTGGGTTTCTTGGGATCAGCATGTACCAAGGAAACAGTTCCTTTGAGTTACTATCCATCTGGAAAGATTTGGCCCCAGAATTAATGTCTGAAACAATTTTAGAAGGGGTTTTCAGATAGGCTTTAATAGCATTTTCATGTGGCTAAAGAGGAAGGATTTAAGAAGGATGCCTAAGTTGCAGGTCTCCAACCTTTTTGTGTTTCCCATGCTCGTTGCACTGGAATGCTTGGTGTTGGTTGCTATTCCTTCTGCAGAGATTTTAAACATTTCTTATATTTGTGATTAGGGCATTAGTGGGTTTCACATTGCATGCATGCATGCATCTTCATTTTGGATGGAATTGCTGTAAGAACAAGCAAGGAATAAATCCAAAATCGTTAATTCTAATAAAAATTAAATATTAAGTAGTCATTATCTAAGATGTTAACTGGGGAGAGACAGTTGAAAGAATCTTGGCCTAAGAGAAGAGAACTGTATCCCCATCTCCTTCACCCCCACGCTATTGTATTAGGCAAATCAAAAGTTAGGGATTTCAGTTTTATACTTAAGGGGGCTTAGACATTTTACCTATTTTAATTTGATTTCTACTCAAGTCATTTGTCAGAAGGCTAAAGTGTATAAAGTTATATTAAAAGCAGTTTTTATATATTGATATCTAAATAACTTAATCTTGAAGTAGCTTTATAATTGTCTTTGGAGAACATTATTTGCTCATATTTAATACGTATATTCATTCTGATTGGGGTCAGGGAAGATGATGGTTTTTACATATTAGAGAATTGACAGGTGAAAACCAGCATTATGTGATGTAGTGTAACTGCAAGTGTTCTCTTAGATATTAGAAAGTTGGGGCTTATAAAGGGGAAAAAGGATTACCATGGGGTTTTTTTCATTTTCTTGGTGCATTTACTATGGTGAGTCATGATGATCTTGGATTTACTTTATACCACTCTTAACTATGGGATAGGGGTTCCGCATTAAACTCACATAGTGGTTCTTAAATGTGAACCAACAGAATCAGTAAGGGGAATAGTTAAAATAGATTGCTGGGCTCCACCACCAGTTTCTAATTAAGTCTGGTGTGGGCCTTGGTAATTTGCATTTCTAATAAGTGCCACTTGGTGCTGGTTGGCAACCCACACTTTGAGAATAGTGCTTTAGAGGAAGGGATCCAAACCTCCCAGAGGTTTGACAAAGTATAATTTACTAGGTATACTGTTAATTGCAAAGCATTATAATTAGGCACTAAAACTGGTCTTTTTTTTTTTTTTTTTGAGTTGGTAGCTCATCAATTTAACGTAACTTTTTGGAAGACCTCTTGCCTTTCAGAAATGTAAATGCTTCTTTTCATCTTGGTGAGCGTTTGTCTTGCAACACATGTGCAAAGGCTTTATTTGTAGACGAGCCACAAAGTTACTTAACATACCCTGAAGATTCTGAGTACTGGGTTCAAGCTGTGACTTAAAAAAATTGAAAGTTTCACCATAACTGGACATCACAAACACTGCCGTAGAGATAATACTCAAATGTGTGCGTTTTCTACAACTTTTTTGGTTTGTACAATTTTTTTTGAAGATTTTATTTTTACGTAATCCCTGCACCCAACATGGGGCTCAAACCCACAACCCTGAGATTGAGTCCCACACTCTTGGAAAAATTTACAGTTAAAATTTTAGAGGTTTAGTACCTGTTCTGTTGCTGTAGTCATCCACACATAATTGACTCAAGGAACACTTTTTAATTTTTATTATTTTTTTTTTTGAGGGGGAGGAGCAGAGGGAGTGGGAGAGAATTTTTAAGCAGGCTCCAGGGTCAATGCAGGGCTCGAGCTCACAACCGTGAGATCATGACCTGAGCTGAAATTGAGTCAGATGCCTGACCAACTAAGCCACCCAGGCTGCCCTGATCTTTTTTTTCCTGCTTTTTGAAGTAAGCTCTACACCCAGCGTGGGGCTTGAACTCGTGGCTCTGAGATCAAGAGTCTCATGCTCTACCAACTGAGCCAGCCAGGTACCCCTAGTTTACTGACATTTGTAAAGAATAAGACCATTTGGCTGAATATTAAAATACGAGGGCAGTGATTTCCTTCTGATTTTCTAAAAAAACCTACAGCCTACTTGCAAATCTTGTAGCTGATGAAACAATTTGTCATGCATGTTATTTTTTAGTGTGTGTGTCAGATTCTTAGAATTCATATCTTGGAATTAGCGAATTAGCTGTGTATACTAGCTTATAAACAGACCACAAAAACAAATCCATTAAGCACCATAATTTTCACTTACTTTATGACATTATTCAGTAACTCTAGTAATCTTTTCTCCATTTGGTTTTTCATTCTGTCACTGGAATGATGAGCTCCTTATTTATTAATTTTTATGATGTGCTCCTTACATAAACAACTTTCCCCCTATAGAACCTATCAGGTCTTGTAGTCTGATCACTTTACAGGTTTTGAGACTAGATGTCATCTCTAGTATGTATCTTCATGGTAGACCATTCCCCTTCATAATTTTGATTATTTGACATTTGCTCACTTCATGTCTGTTGGCCTGGCTTTTCTATATTTCTTTGTCCAAACTGCTGATTATCAAATGAATGTTCGAATGTAGATTTTTGTTTTTAAGACCCTTGTGGGAATCTAGGCATATATTTAGTAAATTTCTGTCACCTACTGATAATTGAATTGTGAAGACAGTCACTGGTAGAGGTGATGGTTCTGTAGAGGCTCTCCCTTCCCAGTGTAATGTTATGCTTTACCAAAATGTGTTACATGCAATGGACAGATGTTTCTGTCTTGGGGGTTTAGGGCACAACATTTCTGAGGAACTCTGACTCAATCTGTCCCTTCTCCTTTCACAGGGCAGCAAGGCGAACCCCATCCCTACTCACTGGAGCTCAGCTTTGATTTTTAACCTCCCTTCCCCACCCTTCCAGAACACACACATTCCCATTCCAAAATTGATTTTATAAAGAGATTTTAAACATAATGATGCAACTTGGTGTGCACTACGGCAAATTTACAGGTGTTTTTTTTTTAACTGTTTCCAAAAACGGGACTTGGATTTAAGATGTAATTTTTAAAATTTCTATTCTATTTTTTCTGCAGCAGTTGGGTTAGAGGAGGAGGAGCCTTTTAGCCTCTCATAAACTGACCTCTCTACTTCCTCGTGTATTTTTAAGATTGATTGATGATGTGGAAAGGGCTTTGCTTGTCTGCTACTGAGAACTTTACCCTTGCGGTTTTTGTGGAAACTGCTTTTGGAAAAAGAAAAGAAATGAACTTTACTGACTTGACATTTTTGCACCTCCCGTTTTTCTAATCTGGGCTATTTTTATTTTTGTTTTTTTACAGTGAGATTTTTTTGATCTTCAGCTACAGTAAGTTATTCCAATTTTTTTTTTACATTTTTCCTGACTTTCCGCTGATTTCCTTTTTATTGTTGTTACTAGTTACTATTATTATTTATTATTATTATACTTAATGATGGTGATGATGATGATGATAATGACACTGATGATTTTTAACCGGATTAAAATCGAGTTTTTCTGAATGTTCATAAGAATTTCTCCGGCCTCCTGACTGACTTTGGAGTTTTGCATCTTGGGAGAGAAGGTGAAGGCATTAGCATTTTTAAGTGGATTGATCACATAAACCTTTTCTCTCCCAACCCCACCCTTGCCCTCATCCCCTTCCCCACGCTCGAAAGAATTTTACTGGCTGTTAAGTCTGTGACCTTATTTTTCCTGATCTTTAACTTAACTGTTTAAGAGCATCTCTGGACGTCTGTATTTTTTATTTTTTATTTTTGTTTTTTTTATTTTTAATCTTTCATTTGTTAAATTTTTAAACTGTGCTGCAATAAAATGTGTGTGGTACTACTTAACACCTATGATGGTGATGGCATTTTCCCAGAAAGCCATTTTCTTCCTGTTTCCCTTGAAATCCCATCCTGCTTTTCCTGTACACTACTACCCCTCACAAACCACAAGCTGCAGCAACATGGATGCCCAGCCTGGAACAGCAGCAGCCAGGATGACCTGGAGCCAGGGGGGCCTTCGGAACAGATGCACACCCTTCCTGGGTGATGGTAAGAGGTGTGAGGTCCACTTGGTTTCATTGCAAAGACTAGGAAATAACACCCATTTAAGTCTAGTTGATACAGTGTAGGTGATAGCTTCTGGAAATGTTTGGGTTAAGATTTTTGTGTATCTCAAGATGTTTCCCAAAGGATGCCAGCTCAGTTTTTTATAAGCTAATGGAATTATGAGGTTGTAACTAACTTGGGCTGACTGAGAATTTCTGATAATAGGAAGGAGCAGCTGAGGTTTACATATACTTCAGAATGAAAATGGTTAGTTTTAAATAGCAAGACAAGGACATATTAGATGGGTTTATTCTTAGATTATTGCAAATTAGTAAAAATTTTGTCATTCAGAATAATCTTCCTTGGGTTTGTGACCATAGTTTTTGATTGTACTCCAGTTAGACTGTTGTTACTGAAATTTAACATGAATCAAATCACAGGAAACATGCTGTAATATTAAATGCTATCTCACTGGGAGGTTTTTTTGCTTGTTTTAAAGGATAGGTAGATTTTTAATCTCAAAAAGCAGGAACCTGTATCCAAATCAGGAAAGGTGTAGGGTTGATCTCTTTTTCAGTGATGACTTGTGGCCCAGCAAATGTTGGGGAATCTAATGCGTTCCCAATAGTAATAGGGAAGGAATGAGTACCTAAAGAATTAAGAATTTTAGCAACCTGAAGTATTTTAAAGATTTGTTCATTTTAGAAGGTGGGGGCAGAGGGGGAGAGAGTCCAAGCAGACTCCACACTTGAGTGCAGGGCTTGATCCCACAACCTGAGCCAAAACCAAGAGTTGGATGCCCAACCGACTGTGCCACTTAGGCACCCCACAACCTATAGTATTTTACTGACTGCAGTGGAATATTTTGATAACTCACTTTAGAGTTGCTGTAGATTTTGAACTTAAGGAAGAAAATGATTTTTTAAAGGCATGTTCAATGCTGTGTGTTACTAGGATAAATCACATACTACTTATTTGTACTAAAAGAATAAAACAACACTGAAGGCATCCTCAAAGGAAAACAGAATGGGAGAAAGTTATATAAAAATGTCCTGAGGTTATCTGGAAGAGGAATGGAAAATTTTCTTTTGTAGGTCCAAGTATAATGTCCTCTGTTACATGAAAGCTATTTTTACCTGTTACTCATCTGTCATTGTGTGGCTGCTGTTCACTATCAGTCCGTCCTTGTTAATTCTACAAATTCTTGTGGGTCATGTTCTGGTTTGGGGAGACACAAAAAGGTATGGTAGTTTTTCAGGGACTTGGAACCTTGTGAGGGAGACAGATGAACGAGACAATGTCATCATGTGATCAGAGGGTAAACATAGAACCTATAGAAGCATGTAAAAACGAGTACCTGATTGACTCTTTAAAGGGCAGGAAATGCTTCTAAGGGAAAGGGAACTGAAATGAACCTTAGAATTAAGGCCAGATTATAAAAATTTTAATGCCATGCTAAGGAGTTTGTATTTTATCCAAAAACTACTGATGAGCTATTGAAAGGTTCTAAACCAGGGAGTGAGATCAGATTTTCATTTTGGAAATGTCATTCTGATGATGTGGAAATGGCTTAGAGGAGAATGAGATTGGAGGTAGGTGTTGAGGAAGATAGTAAAATACACAGAAAAATAAGCTGGCCTGGTCAAAAGCAATGGTATTGGGACTAGAGCTGATAAATTTAGAAGGATTTGATTAATGGTTGCTGTGATAATGAGCAAGAGATTTCAGCGTGACTCCCAGGATAGATGAAGGGAGCAGATTAGGGTAAGAAAAGGAGAAAGCAATTTAAGCAATGGGTTTTTTGAGGCGCACATGGAACATTCAAGTAGAGATGCTTATTCATTAGACAAATTTTGAGTGCTTATTCTGAAAATCACCAGGCTGGGGCATAGGGATGAACAAAACATACTGTTCCCTGTCCTTTTGGACAGAGCATTGAGGGGAGAAATTGAGTGACAAAGAGCACTATATAATCTAGAAGGGAAAGAAGAGAGTAAGATTATATAGAAAGGGAACCGAATTTAGAATATGGAGGTGGTAGGGTGCTTCCAGTGAAGTGACGTTGAATTGATGTTGAAATTATCTAGAAGTGGATTATCCTACCTGAAAGCACAGGTAATGGAGGGAAATCTTGACTTCAGAGCAAAAAATACTACTGGAGAATAGTCACCAAGAATGCATAGAATAAGAGACAAAGTTGGAAAGATAAGCAATTAGCAGGCATGGTATACAGGCCCTTGTAGGATCTTACTTAATACCTAGGTTGTCTTGGGAACAAAGGGAATCTAGAAGGACCTTGGAGAATGCTGAGATCCTATTAACTTTGGAATTTCCTTCTGGCTATTGTCTGGGGAATGTTAGTAATGAGGACAAAGGTCGAGGAGGACGCTATATTAGACCTATCAGAGTAGGTCACTGTCTTTTAATCTCTCGGAAAAAAGTAGTAATCCTAGGCCTGGGGATACTTGCCCAGTTGTTTCAAATGAGTTTTTTGTGTGTGTATTTAATGAGCAGATGTAATTAGTTTGAAGAGGACAGGTTGATCAGACTCTAGGAAACTACTGATCACTTCTCTATTTGAAAGGAAAAATGAAGTAGACCCTCAATTTTTTCCTTTTGGAAGTAATCTGGACACCTTACTGTGAATATGTCCATCATTGTTAATGTTCTTGGAACTTTTTTAATCATCATAAACTTTGTGTATTATCATTAGTATTTTGGAGATGAGAATATTGAAACACAGTTTTAAAAATTTGCTCAGTTAGACATACCTAATAAATGGTGGCACATGGATTCAACCCAGGCCGTTAAGCCTACAGATTTCAACTCTTAATCATACTAGATTGATTGATCTTTACTTGACGTAATGAAATATTTTGAAAAATCTTGAATTGGGCTAAAGTTACCCCCTCTCCCCCCAAAAAACTGCTTCGGACTTCTCTTTTTTTAAAGAGTTTCCAACTAAATACCATCATTAATATATTTTGTTTAATTCTTTTTTTTTTTAAGATTTTATTTATTTATTTGACAAAAACACAGGGAACACAAGCAGGGGGAATGAGAGGGAGAAGTAGGCCTCCCACGGACCAGGGAGCCTGATGCGGGGCTCGATCCCAGGACCCTGGGATCATGACCCTAGCAGAAGGCAGACGCTTAACGATTGAGCCCCCCAGGCGCCCCTTGTTTATTCTTCCCACTTTAAATGACATGATGAAGACTCCAAGGTAATAAATTAGATAGAGGTAGCTTTGTGGTATAATTTTATGAAATGTTTGGATGTGATCGTACTTCAGGGAACTAAACACACTTTAACCTAAAGGTTTTAGTTGAAATAATTGCATTTGTGGTTTTAAAAAAATACACATCCCAGAGTGGTGTATTGCCAAATCCAGCGGTCGTCTTGTAGTCCTCATCACACTTGACCAGTTGGTGTGATTTAACCAGTTGAGCCACTTTCCTCCTTGAAATATTTTTTATATAGTTTTAGGTTTTTGTTCTGTATCTGGCTTTTCTTCTGCTCTGTTGGAGTACTCTGTGTTCATTCCTTCACTTCTCTTCTTTACTCACATTCCCTGGGTCATTTCATTCAATCAGATGATTTTGTATACCATCTATAAGTTAATGAGATTCCCACGCTTGCATCACCAGCCTGGACTTTTTGAATGACATGCCAGTGTGTCTAGTTACCTAGCTGACGACTCCTTGAATGTTAACTATTACCAATTTAAAAGTCCCAAACTGGGCTCCTGCTAGTCTCTCAAACCAGTGTTGCCTGTTTTGGTTAATGAAACTCCAGTTTTTATGTCATATAGGTCAGACTTGGTTAGCCATCCTTGTCTTTTTTCTTAGACCTCACCTTTGGCCTTGTGGAGTATCCTGTCAGCGCTTCCTTTAAATTACAAGTATTGACCACACTGCCATGGCTTGGTCTAGTTTCAAGCTGTAATCGTCTCTTGCGCATTACTGGAATAGGTTTAGGTTTCTTTTGCCCGTCCCCACCAGTGTGTGGTAGCTAGATTGGTCCTACTCAAATGTAATGTTTGAAAAATGTATTGCCTGAAGGAGTTGCTGCTTGAAAATCAATAGCTTCCTATTTTCAACATTAAAGTTTAAAAATTCAGCGTGATTTAATACCCTACATGTTGTGCTCCTCCTCCCTTAATAATGTACTTAGTGTATTCTGCTCTAGCCGCATTGCCTCCTTACTGAGTCTTGAATGCCAGATGGTCCTATCAACCTTTTCTTGGAATTTTCTTCCTCAAGACATTCCTAAGATTACTTGGTTGCTCATTTCATTTAGGTTCTTAAAAGTCATGGCCTCACTGATGGTTTCCCTCACTCAGCCCTGCAAGCTTCCCCCTCCCTACTGGGTACTCGAGCACATTTCACCATCGCACATATTACAGAAGTTTATTATCTGTGTAAAGGTATAGGGAAATACCTTGAACGATACAGGTATAACAACATTGTTAGGGTTGGAAGGAAAGTCACTGTGTGCTTGAAGAGTAATAATGAGCAACACGGTATTTTCTCATTTAAGTAAGACAAAACTTAGGTAGATCCGCTTCAACTTTCCTGTGGCTGGGTGTAAATGGCTACAGCCTATGTACTAGGGGTTTAGTAAGCAGTTTTATAGTTAAGTTGAAAAACAGCTTTAAAATAGGTCTGGCTGTGGTGGAATGAAACAAGTTTTCATTTGAGAGCATAGGCTATTGTGTTTCCTGTGATAGGGTTGTAGACAAAATTTGGAAGGACTTTATCTTTTTTTTAAAGTTATTCTCTCGTGAGTATGCATATATAGGTTTTTCAAAACATACAGCACATTCAAGTACAGAAAAATTTTTTACTTCATGTGAACATAATAACAAAGTTAGTAGAAATCTGAAAATTTAAATAGCTACATACATAGCATACTTGTGTAATATTTTACTTAAATAGAACTCTGTTTTCGGCCCTTAATGTTTTTCCCATTTTTCCCTTGTATACATAATTGAACAGTCTTGACAAATA